ATTTAATTTTAAATAACAACCACTAACTATTGTATAACCAAGCAATTTTATTATTCGAATTAGCAATATATTTTTTACAACCCACTTTTCGTTATATCTGGTAATTACCACTTACTACTTGCTACTTCTCGTTATCCATTATTTATTATTCATTAAATTTTAATCGTAATATCAAATGAACTTTAAATTAAATATTTTATTTATATAACTATTTACATAACTAAGAGTGCAAATAACTATCACTAAATCACATAGCTAACAGCAGATATTATATTAGAGAAGTCAACAACTACAACACCGTTTCTTATTAAAAAGCAGTGCACTTTAACTTGATGGGAACCATTTGGTACTTCATCCGAGTTTCGCTTTCTAAACAGAAACTATAGCAAAGATTCAGCAGGCTTGCTCTCCGTCTCCCTCAGCTCCGTCTTAAACCCCTTCCCACCACCGTTAGCCAACGGATGAATCCCATTCGTCGTCCCCTTCATGTATTCTCGCTTCCCTCTTTCCTCAGCCAAAGATATCCCCAACTGCTTCTCCACATCTATATTCATATCACACTTTATTATTAGAGAAATGTCCTCCAAAATTATACATTGTATTACACCCTCATAGTTTTTGTTAGTATATCATTAAAATTAACGATTTTTATTAAATATATGATTAAAATTGATAATTTTTATTATTTTTATCATTAAAATTAATAATTTTCATCAATTTTAATGATATATTAACAAAAATTATGTAATCGAAATATATAATTTTTTAAAGTCATATCTATCAATATGTTATTATTATAGAAAAGTATTTTTCAGTTGCAACTGAAAAGTTATTTATGTCAGCACTCAATTAAAAAACTATGTCACTTTAACTAAAATGATTTAAATTATAAATTGTTGAAAAGAAGAGTGGACATACTCTTGCCGAGTTCATCGTGGAGCTGACCGTCTCTGGTGAGGGCCACCATGAGCTGAGGCAGCCCCAGAGGCAAATTGTCGCCCTTGTCCACCTGCCAGAAATGGAAAACCTTGCCATGAGTCTTGCACACTTTCTCCATGTCCTGCCCCTGGATAAGCCGTTGGATCCCCGGCATGAACAGCACCCCGCTCTTAACCTCGTACTCGTGGGAGTGCCACAGAGTGGCTTCTCCTCGTCTGGCAGCGTCAGGAACAGGTTCTCCGAGATGAGGTACTCCAGCCCTATGAGAACTGCCGGTTCTCTTTGTTCTGATGGGCGCAGAAGTGGTGTGCCTCTACTTGACGCGTGATGTCGTGGCTGTAGAAATGGAATCTGCGTGTATGCAATTCCAGATGATTGCTTTTAATTAATTACCAAAATGATTAAATTATAAAACGGGAAAATAAATAAATAATCGGTGGGTTAGTTAATACACGCAGAGATGTTGGTGGATTTGGTTGATGGGACCGAAGCCTTGGATGGCGGAGGCAGCGGTCTCAAGGATAGAAGTGGTGGTGTTGGTGGCTTCGCCGAGCACTTGTGACATTATTAGTGGTTGTGTTTACGATTGATTCTGGATCAAACTGCGAGTACACATGATTTAAGCAGCAACCAAATTGATGTGCTGCGCACGCAAGGAAACGCGTGGCAGGAGTAGGGGTGAGGTTGACGCAGTTTAAGGTTGGCTAGCAGCATAGACCAAGTAGTTTTTCCCAACTAGAGAGTTAAGAGCATCATTCTGTTACTATCTTAATGGAGTTGTTTCCCGACTCATTCTCACCAAACAGCATGCAACAGTTATGATTAGGATTTTGGCTTAATAAATTGTTGACTGCAGATTTGATGTCGAAGTAAGCATTCTGCTCCTAGATGCCAATTAAGTAGATACCTACCCAACTCTTCACCATGGTGGGTTAGAGCTAAAATTAATAAGAAATAAAAGGACTTGACGATGGTCTGTATATAATAAAATATTTGCGAAGAAAATGTCCAAACTATTTTATAATCTGAATGTGACCTTCGTTCTAAAGGCTCATACAATTTAAATTGCATCCTTCAATTTTGTTCTCCACTAAAACAGAAATCCTATAGCTGAAGATTGAAAGAGTTCCATGGAAAAATTTTGAAGAGCTTAATTGCCTTTCTATCTCTGGACCCATATTGTCAGCAAAACATCACGGTGCTTTTGCCTCACAGCTCATCCTGCAAACATTGAACAGAGAAAATCAAATTCATAAGCATTTCAAGTTATAGAGTTGTTTGGTATATACCGGTATATCAGTAAAAAACTTACATGCACATCTTCCTTGGTCTCTTCACTTCCGTCTGATTTGGTTTCAGAATCAGAATCTTCTTCACCATCGTTGGCATCGTCTCCATCCTCAACCTGGAGAATGAGTTGACTTGGCAAGGTTAAAAACCAGAACTATCCAACAAATAATACCAAATAACAGAGTATACTCAGTGACTTACATCAGAATCAACTGTATCCTTAGATTCCTGATGCAAAAATTAAAAAGCTCACAAGTTAGAAAAGATATGGAGAAAAGACATACTTGAAAATAGCAGGAGTAATGGACAGCATTTACAGGACTAATAATTGGCTTTTGAAAAGGCAACTTTGCAATTTCTGAATTCATGGAAAGTGTTCTCATTTGGCTATAATATCAACGATGCAAGCAAACATAGAGTCAGAAATCATGGTCAAGCAAGTACCTCCTCTTCTGTTTTCTTCTCTGCCTCTTCAAATGCTGCCTTCTCAGCCTGCAAAATCCAATAGTGTCAGTCAAATATGAAGAGAATTATATCAAGGTCAAAATACAGATGAGAAGATGTACATACATCTTTGTTCTTTGCCCATGTTTCCTCAGCAAACTTCTTGGCATACTCAGGATCATCGCAAACCAAGACATTGTTAAACAATGTCCCAGATTTCACCTGACACAAGTATCATGCTTTTTTTAGTATCTGAGCAGCATGAGAATATAAATAGCAGGAGAAGAGCGAAAAAACCAGAAAGAGAAGTAATTACCTGCCACAACTCAATACCAACATACTTTAATTTAGAGTAAACATAAATATCAGGATCATCCTTGAAGTCTGAAAAGGTTCAAACGACAACATTAGATAATAACATAACAATTAACTTCTTGATATCAAGATAAGCGCAAAGTCATGAAATTAAATAAAAAATGAACCTGGGTTGTCAATCATTGGTGCCTTCCACTTTCCCTTGTAGTTAGGGTTCTTAATTTTCTGCAGAGACAAAGGAATGGTCATGCACATGAATAATATGCCAAATCAAAACATCAAATGCTACAACTGGATATGATTCCACAAACCTTTGGCTTCCATGGGCCCTTGTACTCTGGGTTGGGAATGGTTGGGGCTGTCCACTCACCATCCTCCTCATCATCCCAATCTTCAGGCTGCAGTTAAATACCAGATTATCAATCCCTGATTTTTTTAGACAACGCAATATAACATCCAAAATATTAGAAACCAAATGACTACCTTCTTGGCATCAGGATCTGGGATCTCCTTTGGAATGTCATCATAGCCCTATAGGCACAACAAAATAGTTAGCTTATATCTGTAGCTTCAGATAGAAAACTAAAATTCAGCACAAGACAAAGAAGAATAGGGAAATGAGGAGATAACTACCTCTGGCTTCTTGTCTTCAGGATCAGGGATGTATTCTTTGTCATCCCAGTCTTCAGGCTGCCATCAGAGTAAAAGGGTAAGGGTAACCTAAAATTAAGAGTCCAAGAAGCATTTCAGAGAGAAACTGGTGAGTGTTCTGAGGGACGTGTAGCTACCTTTCTGGCCTCAGGATCCTTGATTTTCTTTGGAGGAAGAAGATCCCAATCCGTGTACACACTATCAGATTGTTTCTCTACATTATCAATAAGGATACTGTAGGTAGCATCAGGACGAAGGATGAATGTATACACATGAGTGAGTTGGTCAGTCTCACAAGGAACTTCCTTCTTGATCAGGTGGTTTGTTTCATTGTAGTTAAGAATGGCATGCACTTTCTTGGTGCTGTAGCCACAAATATCTGGTCCAAACATAATACTGCAGCAAGAAACATAATAAGAACACTTACACAGGAGATAACCACATTTGCTCACAAAGAGACCATACCTATATGGGGTTTCACCACCGAATTTCTTCTGGTCAATGTCGCCACTAAGCAACTTCATGTAGCCACCACCACAGTCAAGCTTCTGCTCATGCTTGACAGAAAATTGGAAGACAAGAGTCTTGTCCTTGTTGCTGAATTCAGGGAACTCAGCTGAAATAGCATAAAACCTATGGTCTTCACTAGTTTGGATACCTGAATAAAGAAGAAAAGTTCACGACTAACCACACACTTAGAATAAAAGATTATAGTTGTTTAAATAGCAGCTATGGACTAGATTGGAACCTTTGTCATTAGGGTCTCCACTCCATTTGCCAGATGTGTAGTTCCACTCCCCAGCCAAGTTCTCATCTTTCTTCCAATCAGATTTAACCCACCTGTTCTCCCATCCCTCTGAAATTTGACAACATTATATAAGTCAAATCAGAAACAAGCATTTCGTCTCGAAAAAGGAACATATACTCTTGTACGAGCTTCTTTTTTAAGACCCCTTTTCATCCCTTTAAAAAGGAATAGAAAGTAAAAAGGGATGATATTAAAGAACTCCTTGTGTAATGTAGCCACAAATAGCAGGTCAAAATCAAATTGTCGTACAAACGACTCAATCTCAATTTCAAAAAAATAAATCAAGTTGTCAATTCTTTCCTTCCCATTGTCAAATCAAAGAAAAACCACAAGTTTGCCCCCAAGAACAATCCGCTAGTTTGTCGAGAAGTTGAACAACTACAAGTTTCAGATCAAGCAAACAACACTACTCAATTGACCCTGGTTGCTTCATCCATTAAACTACATTTCCAAAATATAAATGAAACAATATAAAAAACAGCTTAAATCTAACAATTAGAACTCAGAGCATTATCAGATCTAATCGAATTAATCGCATTTCAAACGAAGTTCAATTTCTTCAACTAAGCAGCGAACCAAAAACCAGCGATCGCGAAATCTTTAGACGAAGATCACGATCCTAACATAGCTAAAGAAAATTGAAGCTCAAAAACAATCAAAATGAAATTAAATGCATGCCAAAACCTAAACCGATCTAAGATCTACAACTCGTTACAGTGACGTAATATATTCGTCTGGATCGAGAAACATTCCAGAGAGAGTGTTACCTTGGAAGCGTTCTTCGAAGATGACCGCTGCAGAGGCGATCCCGACGAGGGAGAGGAGGAGTAGAGAGAGAAAGTTAGGGTTTAGTTTGATTTTCGCCATTGCAAGAGAGGAAGGAACAGTGGAGCTGCGGACAGAGTAGAGAGACGGTGGCGTTTATATAGACGGCATACTTTCTCTGGTTTTCCTGTCGTAATAAATTTGACGTCGTTAGTCTGACATGGACACAACGTATATGACGTATACGAATGGGAGATTGACATGTCATCAGTGATTGTCATAGTCATTGACGTGGCGGATAAGGATTGGTTAAGTCCACGAATTTTTCCCGGCGCCTGACATACAGGCAGTCTTTTATAGGAGTTGGGTTCCGTTGGATTGGTTAATTTGTATATCTTCAATACCAAATTTGACATTAATAATTTGATGTAAAGTTATATATTTAAATAAATATATAATAATATAAATTTTAATAAAGTAAAAATTAAAGGAAATTTAT